ATGTTGGGACATCAGGAATAAGGGAAGAATAAGAATAAAAATATGGGTTAATATAATAAACTATCCTTCTCTTGAGTTTTATAAATGTTTGTTGGTTGAAGCAAAAATTACAACATTGTCTAGTACAGTTCTCAAAGTATGTAGAGAGAATATTTAAGACAATTATACTATAAAGGTGGGGGGGTGGATAAATGAACCTGGATGGTGGTAAGGTTTCTTTCCTTTTCTTGAGGCTATAATCCAATACTACATAATTTATTGTGTTGCTCAAATTGTTTCATAAATCAGTGAAATCATCTCATATTTTTCTCTTCAATTCCACTGATTTCTGTTCTTAGTTTTATTATTTTCTCTCTTCTTGCTTTAGGTTTACTTTGTTCTTTTTCTAGATTCTTGAAGTGGGTGCTTCGGCTGTTTGAGACTTCCTCCTTTTTTTTTTTTTTTTCCTCTTTTCTAATGTAAGAATTTTAGTTTCATAAATTTCCCTTTAATTTTTTTAAAGATTTTAATCTATTATATAGCCTCAAGAAAAGGAAAGAAACCTTACCACCATCCAGGTTCATTTATCCACCCCCCCACCTTTATAGTATAATTGTCTTAAATATTCTCTCTACATACTTTGAGAACTGTACTAGACAATGTTGTAATTTTTGCTTCAACCAACAAACATTTATAAAACTCAAGAGAAGGATAGTTTATTATATTTACCCATATTTTTATTCTTATTCTTCCCTTATTCCTGATACTGAAAAAGTGGATTAAAAAATGACCCAACTAGGGGCACCCAGGTGGCTCAGGGGGTTGAGCGTCCAACTCTTGATTTCTGCTCAAGTCATGAGCTCAGGGTTGTGGGATCAAGCCCTGCATTGGGCTTGGCGCTCAGCAGGGAGTCTGCTTGAGATTCTCTCTCCCTCTTCCTCAGCCCCGCCCCTCACTCGTGCTCTCTCTCAAGTAACGAATCTTTTTTAAAAAATGACCCAACTAGGGCGACTGGGTGGCTCAGATGGTTAAGCGTCTGCCTTCGGCTCAGGTCATGATCCCAGGGTCCTGGGATCGAGTCCCGCATCAGGCTCCCTGCTCAGTGCAGAGCCTGCTTCTCCCTCTCCCTCTGCCATTCCCTCTGCTTGTGCTCTTCTGTCTATCTCTCTGTCAAATAAATAAATAGAATCTTTAAATAAAAAAAATAAAAATAAAAAAATGACCCAACTATATATCATCTATAAGAAACTCACTTCAAATATAATCATACATATGTTACAAGTGAAAGGATGGAAAAATATACAATATTAACATGAATCAAAAGAAAGCCACTAACTATATTAATATTAGATAGTGCAGACTCCACAGCAAACAAAATCATCGAAGACAAAGAGGGACATTAAATGATGCTAAATTCACCAAGATATAGCAGTCCTAAATATGTAAGCACCTAACAAAAAAGCTTCAAAATATATAAAGCAAAACTGACAGAATGGAGAGGAGAAATACACAAATCCATAATTACAGTTGGAGACTGCTACAGCCCTCTCTAAACAACTGATAAAACTATTAAGCAGAATATCCGTGAGGATACAGAAGAACACTGTCAACCAGTAGGACCCAACAACAGCATAATACACAGTCTTTGCAAGTACTATAAAATGAAACATTTACCAAGAAAAAACCATATCCTTAGCCATAAAACAAACCTTGACAGATGTAAAATAAGTGAAATTGGAGAAATAATGTTCTCCATCAAAATTGGATTCAAACTAGAATCAATAACAGAAAGATAGCAGGAAAGTCTCCAAGTGCTTGGAAACGAAACAACATACTTCTAAAAATAAGCCATGGGTCAAAGACGAAGTCTTAAGAAGAATAAAAAATACACTGAACTGGATAAAAATGAAAACAAACATATCAAAATTAATGGGATGCAGCTAAAGAAGTGTTTAAAGGGAAATTTATAGGGGTGCTTGGGTGGCTCAGTTGGTTAAGCATCTGCCTTCAGGTTGGGTCATGATCTCAGGGTCCTGGGATTGAGCCCTGCATCAAGCTCCTTGCTCAGCAGGGAGCCTGCTTTTCCCTCTCCCTCTGCCCCTCCCTCCTGCTCGCATTCACTCTTTCTCTCTCTGTTTCTCAAATAAATAAAATCTTTAAAAAAATTAAAGGGAAATTTATAAAACTAAAATTCTTACATTAGAAAAGAGGGGAAAAAAAAAAAGGAGGAAAAGTCTCAAACAGCCGAAGCACCCACTTCAAGAATCTAGAAAAAGAACAAAGTAAACCTAAAGCAAGAAGAAAGAAAATAATAAAACTAAGAACAGAAATCAATGGAATTGAAGAGAAAAATATGAGATGATTTCACTGATTTATGAAACAATTTGAGCAACACAATAAATTATGTAGTATTGGATTATAGCCTCAAGTATAAAATAAATGTACATGAGTCCATACTGACATTAATAAAAAATTTCTTAAATGAAGGAAGCACCCAAGGAGATTATTATAATTGCTTAATTTTGGGAAACAATCAGATTGTCTAATATGAAGCTCTTGGCACATAAAATTTCAATAAATGGTAGCTATGAGAGGTAGCTGTGATAATGTCCCATGTTATAATGACAAAACAAATTATTTCAGAGAGATGAATAAGCCAGCAAGGCAAAACATGCAATCATTCTCTTCTAATGCCAAAGCTAGTTTTGTTCTACAATATTAGGTTCTCTCTTTTATAACAGAATGTGAAATAAAAAGTAAAAAATTTGTTTCCAGTAGCCCAGGTCCCCTATCCCTTGCAACAAAAGACTGCTATTCTCACTGAACTAGAGGCATCAGGACTTAAGACCCAAAGCTACTGAGTCACTTTATGTTCTAGGACTGGCTGTCCTAAATGGAAAAGTAGCAAAATTTCTTTCTCACCATTCTATAGTCAAAGCCTCCTCTGGATAGATGGGAAATTTGCTCTGTTCCTGTTTATGTGCATTTTATTCCCTAAGTATTTCTGCTTGAAACAGACACATATAAACACACTCTGGTATTTTACTGTGCCCAGAAAGATCTTAAGCAAAAGATGGAAATGAAAAGTGACCAGATGGAAATGAAAAGTGACCTCTGAGAAAGAGAGAGAGAAATGCTCTCTCTGGATGACACCCTAAAGCAACGCGCTCCCTGCCCCATCTTGTGTGACGGTAGGTGGAACCTGTGACTTGCTTCTAACCAATAGAACATGTCAAATGTGATGGAATGTCAATTCCTTGATTAGGTTATGTAATGTAGCAAATGTGATGGGATGTCACTCCCATGATTGTGTTATACTATATAAGACTCAGTCTTGGGGCACCTGGGTGGCTCAGTCGTTGGGCGTCTGCCTTCGGCTCAGGCCATGGTCCCAGGGTCCTGGGATCGGGCCCCTCATCGGGCTCCCTGCTCGGCGGGAGGCCTGCTTCTCCCTCTCCCACTCCCCCTGCTTGTGTTCCCTCTCTCGCTGTGTCTCTCTCTGTCAAATAAATAAATAAAATCTTTAAAAAAAA